TGGGGTGTTTGATAAATTTCCAATCTCCGTATTTTTTTAAATATCGAAGCACGGTATTTTATTAATATATTAGCATTTTATTAATATGTTACTGTAGTCATTCATGTCCTAGATGGCTTAGAAAACACATAAAAATAAGCTAGAAGGTCGTATAAGGAATCCAATCTCGTTAACTTTCCTAGTTATATAAGACAACTAGTAGCAAATACTTGTAAAAGTATTTTATTTTGTATCTGTGACAGTATCAGGTCGTAAAATGAGGACAATGCTGTATTCAGAAGTAAATAGATATCTACATTTCTACAAACATTCAACTAACATAGTACATACGCTTGTTCGTCTGTGTGTTGCGCAAAGCCGTAAAAAATGTCCTGGAATGTATCCAGAAAAAATTTTCTTTCATTTGTATTATAAACACGTTGGTGAAGCGAATTTAATTTCGTAATTCGTCGATTTCGGGGCAGCGAGAGCCGGAATTTTAATTGTTATTAACGATGTTTCTTGTTATCGTACAAAGCCTAGAAATATACAATCGGAGCTGGAATTCCGAGCGGCAAATTTTTTTATGTTTTTTTAGTACCTTTACCTTTTTATTATCTATGTACATAGATTAAAAATTGTTCTGTGGTAAGAAATATTTGTGGTCACATTCAATGTGTAGTCTACTCTACGACAATCACACTTGCACGTGAAAAACGTATTTACAAAATCGATTTAGAGAAAAGTAAAAGTTAGATACCCTAATTACCTAATTAGGTACCTACCTATTTTAAGGTTGAAAATCGTATCTGTAGAACAGATAAATAACATATGTAGTAGGTAGCGCGACGCCGCCGCGCGACCGTGTACGCGTCAGAAAGAGGGGACTCTTGACAGAGGGATGTGTGACTCGAAATTAGTAGAGCTTTTGTCATTATAATTACATTTTTTAGATAATTTACATAAATAGCGTTCAAAATATCTTGCTTTATTAAGTTTTCTACATACCTTAACACATATGTATACCATTATATTCTTGGTTTGTACCTGTAGGTACAGTGGGCAGTGGGTCAACTTAATCAACTCTGTCAACTATTTTCCTTGTAATTTAGGCTTTATATCAAAACACTATAAAGTTGAAACTCTAATAAATAAATAGACAGTTTAGGACAGCTAGATTTACAGTATTGTACAATATACATGTATATTTAAAGCTATAAAAATGTGATCCACGTACCGAATGTTAGGCTATAGCTATCAACAGATGGTTATTGATGAATCTTGCATTCTTTAAGTGCCTCACACTCAAACCTTACTAAGAACACTTGTATATAAGTTTGTAATAGTGACTGTCTTATTGACCGAATGGCAAGTCCGAATGCCTGGCGTAAGGGCTCTCGGGTTCGATTGGGGGAAAATACTAATTTATGATTTTAAAAAAATCTCTGTAGGAACATGGAGTTTGTATTTGTGCAATACATATATGGCAATAGACTCACCCCCTATTACATGAGACTCATAACATAAATAGTGAAAAGTGGGTGTTATATTGTACAGTGGCATTAAGTGCCGTAATGTGCACTTCTGCGTAACTTTTCAATGCAATAAATAATTTAAAAAAGAATCATACTCTCATCAATTGATTTGACAATTTACCTACTTTTGGATTTTTCTCGGTAATTTTGAAGAAATAAGTACCTATGCTATTTGACGCAAAAATATGATGACGTCATAAGTTGCGACCCAATATTAAATTCATAGAAATGTATCGTTTTTGACATTTCAATAAAAGTATTGAATTTGACTACCTGTCAACTACTGTATTGTAGCGAACTGAAATTGTAAGTGGTGTATGATAATAAGTAATCGCGCCTCCTATTTTCTATAAAATAAATCGGATAAATAAAATTGTTTTTAATATTAAAATAACCGCTTTTTACTACATGCGTATGAATACACATAAGTACGATACACAGTTTTTGTCTGTCTGCAGTGTGTCTGTTTGTACTGGCTAATCTCTGGAATGGCTGAACCAATTTTGCAAGACTTTTATTGGCGGGCAGCTAATGTACTAAGGTGCTCCTTAAAAGTAGCCGATGTTACTACATAGGCTACTTTCATTTTGGAAAATTGAACCAAAAAAAGTTATGTTCTCAAATCCATATTATACGCGGACGAAGTTGCAGGCGACAGCTAGTTACAATTATGAGATGTAAAACATTATCGGCCATTTAATAAAAATACTCCTACCATCAGGGAAAATAGTTTGACATTATTAATGTTTAATATATCTTAGTCACAAGTCACAAGGTTTACCTCAACTGGAAATAAAATCTAGATCTTTTCGTTCGCATAAATATTTCTCAAGGCGTTCCTCAAGAACACAAATACATCACAATAGAGATAAATAAGTCACTGATGTTAGTACATTTACAAATCGCTTTTCATAAAACCATTTCCTTTTCAACTCTATTTCATAGTTATTAGAATTCACACTTGTTTACAATCAATATTGAACTTATTTACGGTGCTTTGAACTTGTTAAATACCGAATATTTTTTATCAGCTACAACACGATTAAGGAGATATATGTAAGTCATACTTTTTTATACTTCAATTTTTAGATTAGAGTATATAAATAGTATGAAAAGTCAGTGAGTCATACTTACATACAAAAAGTCATAGGTACTTTGTTATACTCCAATTAGTAGGTTATTTTTTTGGGGGGGGGGGGGGAATCATCCAATGACTTCTCTCGCACGTGTGAGGCGAGCGAGAGAGAGTATCAGACTCTTACTGACTAAAAACCACCCCGTTCCTAAACTTCGAGCCGGAGCCCCGGCAACCCGTTAAGTCCTCCGCGTCTCCTTATCGGTATCAGCCCTATTGGATCTGTGGTGGTCTGATGGCTCTTCGAGCCAGTTTGTAGGTTGAAGTATAAAAAGTATGACATATCGGTGCATGCTATCAGTAGATAGCAACTGAAACTTATGAACCTTCAGATGATAAACAGTCACCGTAGCCTAAGTACCTACATCTATTCCTGAGGCATCATGACTGCCCAAAAGTGGTTGCAGACCGTATAGAACTCTGTCTAATTGAACCATCATATTCGCTTTAGAAAGAGTCATAATCATAATCAATAATTTATGGTGATGAGATAGGATCGGAAGCAAACCTGCATTTTAAGCAACTTTTGCAAATTAATTCATTTTATATCAACCACGTTCTAAGTTAAGTAAAAACGCGGGTTACTCACGTGAATATACTGAGAAAAGCTCTACTAGTTTCGAACCACTGAGCTGCGCGACGTCGCCGCGACCGCGCACGCTGCTCATGAGGAAGAACCCCTCTGTGGTTCGAAACTAGTAGAGCTTTTCTCAGTATATTCACGTGAGTAACCCGCGTTTTTACTTAATTTAGTATGTCTCACGATAGTTATAATAAAAACACGTTCTAAGTGTATAAACGTTATAAAATCATATAGCTAATACTTTGTTCAATCAAAAGCTGAATCAACTAAAAATTACGAGTTACTCACGTAAATATACTGAGAGAAGCTCTACTAGTTTCGAGTCACAAAGGAACTCTTCCTTATGAACAGCAGTAGGCTGTGCGACATCGCCGCGATCGCACACGCTGCTCGTGAGGAAATATTCGTATATTACGAGTATAACTCGTAATATTTAGGTAATTTAGAATGGCCCACGATAGTAATGATAAAAACAAAAGCTAAAAACCAAAATAATTTATAACTAAACAACAGACAGCCAATGAGGTAACAAGAATGGTTAGGTGAGAAATAAAATTAAAATACTCTTTTCAAATCTGAGTAGCAATGTATGCATCATATACCTACGTAACACTATCTATATTCAAACAATAATAAATCCAGCCAATAAATGTAAAGCACGTTCAGTATCAGCATCCACGTTCTTAAAAAAAACATCAGCTTAATTTAAAAACGTTCGATGACATCATGTTTAAAATAGTAACGGCCAATGTGTTCTAAATGACAACTTTCAAATGTTATAAAAACACACATTGTTCTTGACACGTTTAAATTCAAATTATTATGACTGATTTTTATAATAATAAAAAATAAAAAATTGCAAACCTTCACATTCTGTCCACTGTTTTCTAAAACGGGCGTTGTGTTATTAAAAATTGTAAATTAATAACAACGTAATTTTTAAAAAAAATCGTAATGTCTATTGGAAATATTAACAAAAACTTATTTCTTTTTGTTTTCTGTCTGCAAAAGTTAAGATAAAGGTGATATTTCCACCAATCAAGTCATGCCGATTATTACTTATTACAGTAGGTAAAGACATATTCATGTAAAATGCAATTAAATAAAAAAAATATTGTCACCTATTGTACCTACGTATTAAAATGTTTTTTTTTAAATACAGCCTCTAATATATGCAATGTAATTTACTCAGATAACTACAACAGTATCATTATTCAATAAATTTAGTTTAAAATATATCATTTTAGAAAACCTTGTCTTAAATCAAGTAGGTAATGGCGAGCGACCGCTCCACGTTTTATAGGTATTATCGTTTACAAAAGCTGACCCAATTTCTTGGCACTCTGAGTATAAATACATACATTTCATTTATTACAGTCTAGCATGGCAGCGATAAGAAGTTCCCCAGTCGAAGAAAACGTCTCAACTTCAAATAAATGCTTTTCTTTCAAAATGAGTTCGAATAAAAGTTTTTATCTTCTACAGACGTGAGATATTCATTCTATTTTTCAATCAGTATTTTAGTATATTAGTTGCGACAAAATAACACGCTATATAACAACATCCTTTTATCAATAAACTAAATAATAAAGTAAACTAAATAAAGCCACGATAACCGGTAAAGTTAATTACTAACTAACTATGTTGATAACAATCTCAATTGTTTTCAAGTGCATATCGAAACCTACACTAATAACAAGGAAGTACAATGACACGCAAAAGTGTTTAAAATTTTAAATATATTTTTTTTTATACAAAAAAAACTTACCGATTTCGAATAAAGCCAGCAAAACTGCTAGGGATAATGCGGTGAATCCGTACCGGGCCATTTTCTTCTTGTGTTTTTTTTTAAATCACAGCAAACGACTGATCTCGAGCTATGGATGAACTACACTGAGAACGAGGACCGCCGCGCCCGCCCGCCAGCTCGTCGCCGACCAACGCATTTACACGTCACGTAGGGTAAACCATCTCCCACTTTATTGAGGACAGTCTATGTTTTTATTTTGTTTCCTTGCGATACTGCTAGGGAATATCCTTAGTAATGAAATAGAATTATGGGTGTTTTTCATTCATTCTTTCACACAGCGTCTAACTTTTGCTGTAATAACCAAAATTGGAAACAATATATAGAAAAAACAAGGTTTTTCGTACTTTTTTTTATTAAATTTGATGGTGGTTTACAAGATTGTCAAAAAAATGAAACAATAATTTATTGACTGCTTCGATGGTTTGGTAGACTTTAGAGAGAACGTTACCACGATCTCTATTTGGTATATCAAGCCCAATAAATTAACTGACAAACTCTGCTTTACTTTTTCTCCGGTCCGAGATATAATTTTTTTGGTTGCATAACTGTTTATAGAAATACGGAACTTTAGATTGAATGTTTGTCTGTAAGATTTTCTACCTATCTATCTCTCTTTAATACTGATTGTAACTGTACTAAAGTAGATCAGATCAAATGTTTTTCGTAGATCAGAAATAGATAAAACTCAGTATATTTCCCAAACGTTTGGTCACCTTACTGTCCGACCAAAAAGATACTTGTACTAAATCTTTGGGCAGGATATCAACCGAAAATACAAGGTTATTCGTATGGTTTTGTTTTTTATCAGACTAATTCGTCCGGGCCCATATTTATTCCTATTTTCCTATATTGAGCAGACAATTAGGTATCATTCCATAAATGAAAAACAAGTCAGATTATTTGCGTTTTTTATAGATTGCCTTGTCGATTCATTCATTGCAAGAGCTACTGACAAGTAATACTAAAGGGTCTTAGAATTGTTAGAAAGAAAGAAATAAAAAAGAAAAAATAAAGGAAGAAAGAAAAATATTTTATTCGGCATCTAACACCATGCACTAAAAATAAAACAATTACCTACTAACTATCAAAAAATACACAAACAAAAATACTTATAGCCTTGTTTGAGAAAAGTTCTATCAAAATTTTTCATACATTTCCAGACTATATAGGCTACTCACCAGTATCCTCTTAATTTTCTTTTTTACTTTACTGCCATCACCTAGTTGCTGGCAAAGTATGGGGATTATAATTGTCTGAACCCACTGTAGTGAATTTCCTTTTTCAAATATTATTTACATTATGGAATTTTTCGTTAAATAAGGTAATAATACGGAATTCCATATCTATAAACCATAGGGAAATCAACAGAAATTTAGGTACTCATAATTGTGTTGTTAGCCATATTTATCTTCCAATTTAATTATAATTGATGCCAGTTTCAGGAAAACTTCGTATATTGCAATTTATTTGAAAACAGTTATGTAGATATCGTGTGCCAATAATAATATTACCAATACATACTTCTATATGCAACTCACGCCTGTCTCCCACTCCCATGGGCAGGCAGAAACTATGGAACGCCAATTGCTACGATTCTTTTTTTTATTTTTGAAAACGTTGCCCCACGTTAGGATTTTCTCCTGTGTCGTGGGTGCGTTTACAAACATACAAGTTCACATACGCAATGACACCCAGACCTGGAACAACAATTTGTGGATCACACAAAGTGATCACACACGTTGCACGGCAGCCGGTTGCCCAGCCACCGCACCAACCGTGCAGTCAAATTCTTACATCCCTCTTTTGCTTCATCAACAGTCAATAGTCTTTTCATGCATGCTGTTAATTTAATGGTAGATATACATTTAATTTCTGCTTCAGATTATTTCAAAAATTAACTATAAGCATGTTGCGGTTGAAACTAAAGGTCCAGTTCATCATGACCATCATCATCAACAGCCGAAAGACGTCCATTGCTGGTCAAAAGCCTCTGTCTTGGTCCTGTACGTCGAGTTGGTTTAAGTATTAATTAGGTTCATCAAAATAATCATATGAGCCACAATGCAACCAGTTAAGTAAGCAACCTACAAGTCTTATGCCCGTTTTTACCAACCACCCCCAAACCATCTCCTAACTAAAGGTTGTCTGGAAGAAATCGCCGCGTGTGATAAAACCGCCCATTGTACTCCAATTACTATTACAATGATTACATTTTTTTCTGTGTGTGCAATAAAGTATAAATAAATAAATGTTACTTACCGAAAAAGGTATGAGGTAGAGGTAGCTTATGAAGCGATATTTACATACATTATTTTCATAATAAGATATGTGTGTATCACTTTTTTTTTTTGAGGGGGGAAAATCATCCAATGACTTCTCCCGCCTGGGTGAGGCGGGAGGGAGTGTCAGACTCTTACTGACTAAAAACCACCCCGTTCCTACACCTGCACTTCGAACCGAAGCCCCGGCAACCCGTTAAGTCTTCCGCGGCTCCGTATCGGCATCAGCCTTGTTAGGCCCCATCTGTGGTGGTCTGATGGCTCCTTGAGGCGCACGCGGAACGCGACGCGCCGTACGCACGGGCCTGGTTCTGGTCGGGCGGCGAGTCACCCATGCAGCAAAGAAACACAACAATACAAGCAAAATAATTAATAACATAAGTAGTTCTTGTCTTTGTATAAAATGCGAGATAAGCCAAAAACTGCATTAATTTATTAAAATCCATTCTAGACGCATTATCTCTTGGCACTGTTTTAAAATGTTTGGAAACACTTTATATGGACTACTTTCTCAATTTCATAGTGTTTTAGTGCAATGTAGTAAAGTATGTATCCTATTATATACTTGCTATGCCATTTCCACGCGGTTTCATTCGCTGCTTGGTTTCTATTGATCAAAGCTTAATGTATTATGTTTATAGCCGATTTGCTCGATAAATGCGCTATCCAACAAAAAAAGAATTATTCAAATCGGTTCAGTAATTTCGGAGATTAGCACGTACAAACGAACAAACTCTGCAGTTAATAAAAACAAAACAAAAATGTGAATATTTTGCTTTTTTATAGGAATTGATTAGATAGGAGATACACAAACATTAGTAGGATGAATGCAACACATCAGTCAATGTTATTAAAACATCTAGATCTATACTGATGATTAGTAGCTCTAGTTTGACCACTTTTTTATGACGGAGAAACCTTTCAAAAGGAGCCTAGCTTTTTGGGTAGATAGATTAAGAGAATATTGGATTTGTAACTCACTAAAAGCACCGCGGTGGCCACCCTCAGCACCTGTCCTGAGGCACCGAGTCCTTTAAAAGAGCCCTGCTCTGGAGCCCCACGGTGCAAAACCTATTTAAGGCACATCCTTAGAGACACGTGCGTGTCCCTTGATCATCTAATTTGACCCTAATAATCTCATTCCAAAATCCTTGGTATCTCCAAATCAATAAGTTTTGACATTTTATAATAAGTGTGGGAGAGCCATGCATCGGCACGAATGGGCCGGCTCGACCACACGACGATGCCACGGCCTCACACAAAACTGACATGGAACAACGCTTGCGTTGTGTTTCGTCATGTGAGTGAGGTTACCGGAGGGCCAATTACCCCCTCTCCCCAGTTTCCCAAATCCCCGCATCCCACACAATCCTCATATTCCCAATTCCCAAAAGGCTGGTAACGCATTTGTAACGCCTCTGGTGTTTCAGGTGTCCATGGGCGGCGCCGATTGCTTACCGGCTTACCTATGGAGTTAGGTAAGTCAAAAACCTACATCAAGCCATATATTTTCACCTAACAATGCTATTAGTTTCGTCTTTAAGAGTATTTTAGAGTTTTTCTATAACATTCTTTTGCACAAATTAACAAACAAATTCTTTGAATTCTTAATAATTACACGGAATTCTTTACTTTCCCAATGAATGGACAATTGAATAACTTAATAAATAACATTCGAAGATCACTGCTCGTACACATTGTTATGATTTAAGTGTTAAATATTTTATTCATTGTTTTTCAAACATGGCTCAGGTGAAGCAGGAAAAAGATCACATAAGTATACTGTTCAAGGCAAGATCACTTAGGGAAATTACTTGTTCACACGATTTGACCTGACTTGTTCTTTATATGTAAAAGCAGTTTGTTTGTGTACCTTACCTACTTGTAATAAGTCATCAGTCATAACATTATTATACTTATGAACAACTAGCAAATCCAGTGAACTCCGTTGCGCCACCTTCGTTCGGCTTCGTTTTATGTAACATTTTGTTTGGTGATTAAAAGATGAAGAAAAACTTTTTCATGAATTTTCTTTGCTATAAACCTCACGGAACCCGAGACCTTTCCAACGAATGCAAAACCGTGGAAATCGGGTTGTGCGTTCTGGAGTTATAGCGTCAGGAAGGAAAACCTGACTTATTTTTATTGAACAATAACTTTGTAAATTATTTTAGTATTGAATTTTGTTTCTAAATAACGTTGCCCCACACTGGGATTTTCTCCTGTGTAGTGAGTGTGTTTACAAACATACAAGTTCACATAGAAATCACACTCAGACTCAAAACCACAATCTGTGGATCACACAAAGAGTTGTTCCGCGCGGGAATCGAACCTGGGACAATTATAAAGAACAAGTTTGTCTGTCACGTTTCTATGTTTCTTCATGATCACCATCCAAATCTGAAGTCCCTTTTTACACATACACATAACATCACGCCTTTTATCCAGAAGGGGTCGATAGACGTGCACATTACGGCACTTAGTGCCACTGTACTATGTAACACCCACTTTCAACTTTTTATGTTATGAGTCCCATGTAATAGGGTGTGAGCCTATTGCTATTTTGACGGGGGAAATTATCAAATGACGCCTCCCAATCTGCTTAAGGCGAAAGGAAGTGTTCTGACGCTATACACTTCTTACTGACAAACCGTTTCGATTCCTGCTTCGCACCAGAACCCGGTAGTGTAGTAAATGTGTAGTTTTCTAGTCAGTTCTGACATTTCAAATTACCAAATCA